TGGTGTGTGTGTTGTTGTTGTGTGTGTGTGTGTGTGTGTGTGTGTGTGTGTGTGTGTGTGTGTGTGTGTGTGTGTGTGTGTGTGTGAGTCGGCTGTGTGCTTGTGTTTGTGGGTGGGTAGGGAAATGCACGCAACGCCGGGTTCCATCATCGACCACGAATCAAAATCGAAGCAGCAAGCACAGACACACAATCGTCTCATGCGAGTTCTCACCGTGGTAGGCGCCCATGCCGGAGTTGCCAATACCGCCAAAGGGGAGGCCGGGGTGGCCAACGTGGAACAGGCACGAGTTGACCGTCACGCCGCCAGAGCTAAACGAGCGTTGCAGTGTACCATGTAACCGTGAGACTCGTCACGTCAGTCACAACGCAGCGCATGTCGCACATAGCTGGGTAGACACAGACACAGACAGACACAGACACACACACAGACACACACACACACACACACACACACACACGCACACACACACGCACACACACACGCGCGCGCACGCGCACACACACACACACACACAGACACAGACACACACACGCACACACAGACACAGACACACACACACAGACACAGAGCAAGCAGGGCACCTTGTGTTCTCGACGACGCGGCGCTGGACAGCCTCGTCCTGTGCGAAGATGTAGAGGGCGAGCGGCTTGGGGCGCGAGTTGATCTCCGCAATGGCATCCTCAACGCTTTCAGCCTCAGTCACCTGAGCACCACACGACAAGAGCGCGGGAGAGCCAGAGAGGGGTATCAGTGAAAAACAACAACTCCAGCAACAACAACAACTCCAGCAGCAACAGTGGACGCGTTCAATGCACAATCAAATACGCAGCATCACTGCACTAGCAGCACAACGAAGATGTGCACGGACTCACGGCAAGGATGGGTCCAAATGTCTCGTCCTGCATGAGGGTGGAGGTGCGGGAGACATGGATCACCGTCGCCGCAATGTACCGCTTCTTCCGGTCAAACTGGCCACCAGCAACAACCTGCAGTGTCAGCATGTATGTGTGTGCGTGTGTGTGTGTGTGTTTATTGTTTGTTTGTTTGTGCGTGTGTGTGTGTGTGTGTGTGTGTGTGTGTGTGTGTGTGTGTGTGTGTCAATGGATGAGCACATGTTGCGTGCGTTCCACGTAGTGATGACACAAAACCACACAAACCAATCGCAACCCGGAACAAGAAAGCACCCACATGGGGCAACAGCATCACCTGTCCACCGTGGGAGTTGAGAAGGCCAACAAGGCGGTCCATCTGCTTGTCGCCGACGACACGCCCGATGTTCGGGTCGTCCTCGTTGTTCTCGTACATCACCTGGCAGTAATGGCGGCACCGCTCCTCTGCCAAAATGGACACGGAACGGGATGGTGAATGATGTGGCAGGGAATGATGGGGTGGTGGAGTTGAGAAGAGTGGTGTGAGGTGTGGGGTGGTGGAGTTGAGAAGAGAGGTGTGAGGTGTGGCGGGGAGCATACAGCAGTTCAGCGTGGTTTCGCACAACACTATCGGCGCTACACGCACACGCACGCACACGCATAAACAGCTGCACACACGCACACATGTGCAAGTCCCACGCACTGAATTGCTCAATGACGTCCTTGTGGCAGAGCACGAAATCGGGCGCGATGCACTGCTGGCCGCAGTTGAAGTTGCGTGCCCACACTGTTGACCAATGCAAGCCAATTGGGAGAGGGGGTGAGGGGCGGATGAGAGATGGTGCACACATCAGCACAAGAATCGAGGGCAAAGACAGGTACACAGGCACACACACACGCACACGAATACACAGACAAGTGCACACACACACACACACACGCACACGAACACAAACAGACACAGACACACACATGAACACAAATCCGTACCGCATCGCTTTGCAGCGAGGTCGATATCTGCGCTCTTGTCGACGTAGACGGGGTTCTTGCCACCGAGCTCAAGCACACACGGGGTGAGGTGCTGTGCAGCGCCCTGCATGATCACGCGCCCAACCGTCGGGCTGCCTGCTCACCACAGCAGCAGTACACGCACGCGCGCCGGAAGTGAGTTGAGGGTGCAGATGACCACGTGTCACAAGAAAGCGCCCTTCGCTGCACACACACGCACACACACACACACACACACACACGAGACCTGTGAAGAAGATGATGTCTGTCTTTTCCTCGAGGAGCTTGGCGGTGCACTCGCGATCGCCCTTGAAGTTGGCGCCAACGACCTGCACGACACTGCACAACATCAACCACAACAACAGCACGCGGCAGGTGCAGGTGAGTGGCATTCAAAAGGCATCACAAGTGACAAACTGTAAGCAGCACTGCATTCCAACACACACACACACACGCAGCACAGCACAACACAGGGTTGATACGTACCGTGGGTCCATGTACTTTGGCAGCACATCCGCAAGGAGGCGGGCGCACGCCTTGCTCGTGTTGCACTGCAGTGTAAAGAAAAACATACACACGTGGATGGGCAGTGAGCAACGTGCCAGACACAAACACGCGCGCGCACAGACAGACAAACACACAGACAGCCACACGCACACAGACGCACAGACACAGACACAGACACAGACACACACAGACACACAGACACACAGACACACACACACCGACAACTAAACAACCAAACAGCAAAGCGGCGGCTGCGGCGGCACTCACGGGCTTGATGATGACGGTGTTGCCAGCGGCGATGGCGCCAAGTGCAGGGACCAGCTCAAGCTGGAAGGGAAAGTTCCATGTGCCAATGACAAGCGCAACGCCATACGGCTCAGGCTGCGTCCACTGGGTGCTGTGAAGAGGGGAGGGATGAAAGCACGTGGTGCTTCAGGTGAGTTGTTGCTGTTGTTGCTGTTGTTGTTGTTGATCGGCGCCACCACATACGCAGGTGCTGTTGTGTTATGACGTTGACTGGTGCACGTTGTATTACCTTGGGAAGGAGAGAATATGTGGGCCGACTGGCTCGGGCTCCATCCACTGGTCAAGCTTGTGCAGCGCATCCTGTGGCAAGGCGACACACACGTGAGGCATAGGCCAGCGATGGCGCTCAACAACGTGCACCTGAAGCATTCCACCATGTTCCGACACACACACACACACACACACACACACACACACACACACACACACACACACACAGGTGTAGATGCAGTGAGCGCACGTCAATCTCGGCGATGGGGAGAGCGACGTCGTAGTAGATGGTCTCAAAGCGCGGGCGCTTCAGGTCCTCGTGCACGGCCTGCACAACACACACGCGCAAGGGCAGTCGAGTATCAGGAGGCATAGTCGTGGTACGCACGAATACACCACATGCATGCATAAACCACGCGCACACACAGGGCACACAGAGCACACATACGGGGGAAAGTGTACACGGACGACGACAACCCCAGCAATAACAGCAATTAACGCACGGCGATGATGCGCTCCTCGTTCTCGACAAAGAACTTGCGCAGCTGGCGAAGCTGCTCCTTGCGCTTTGAGACGGGGCGGGTGATGCCGGAGGCGTAGCTGCGCTGCATCTCCTGCACCAGCGTTGGGATCTCGTCCAGGGTGTACTCGCGGTTGACCTTGCCCACGAGCTTGAAGTCGGCAAAGCACGACTCATCCACAATGTAGTCATCATCCTTGCGCTTGGGTTTGCGCATCAGCAGGCACGAGGCCCCGGTCACCAGCAGGAACAATGCAGCCGCCCCGTACGTGGCAGGCACCTGGCTCAGCACATTGCCCACAACCGTTCCCTCCAAGCACTCTGCGCGGGGTTGTGTTTGTGTGTGTGTGTGTGTATGTGTGTTTGGTGTGTGTGAGTACACTTTCAACGTGTTGCTTCAAGTGATACGACAACCAAACACTGCACAACACACACACATACACACACACACACATACACGCACACAAAAACACACAAACACACAAACACACAACACATACATACACACAAACACACACATACACACATACACACATACAGACACACAAACACACAAACACAGACACACAAACACACACACACACACACCTGTGACAGAGTAGTCTGGGATGAGGAGAAGCGGCACAAAGCCAAGGGTGGCAAAGGCCAGGAAGGACGGGCGACGGCTGTACAGCGAAAGCCACACAAACGTGAAGCTTCCCGCCAGGGACAGCGTCCATGGATCAAACTGACCCCGCAACACATGCGACACAGAAGACACCATGATGACGATCGACGTGTGCTTTCTTTCACTGTGAAGAAGGACGCAAAGGAAGCTGGCTGGAGAACTGCCGCTGGCGTTCTGCTTGTGCTTGACGCAGTGAAGAATAACTACTGAAATTTTAACAAATTTTCACCGCACAATAAAAAAAATTGTTTTGTTGGCTGTTGTTGTTGTGCTTTGGCGAGAGACCGCGCCCACTCTTCTTTCTTGGCTTTTTGCTTGCTCGGGCAGCGACACACAAACATCAGCACCCACCAAACACCACCCATCGTCCCTGATACACACACTTTCTCTGTTGCCACACCCTCCTCTGTTTTGGTTGTCGTTGCGCTGTTCCTCAACCATCCAGCCATCCCTCTCCGTTGTCTCTCAGCGAAGAGACGAGCGACGACGACGAGGACGACAACCAACCAACCAACCAACCAACCAACCAACCAACCACACGCACAAGCAAGCAAGCAAGCAAGTCGATTCAGATTTGCACACCAGCGGGCGACAATGCGTGCCGGCAAACGCAATGCCGCTGTTGCCAGCCTTGTCGTGGCAGCAACGACGGCGTTGATGCTGCTCTTGGCCACAGCGCAGACAGCGCTTGCCCAGAACTGTGGACCAGATGAGTTCTTTACCGGCCAGACGTGCCAGTCTGTCTCCCCGCCATGCGCAGCAGATGGTGCGTGCTTGCCTGCAAGCAACAAAGACAGACAGGCCATGCCAGGCCTGTGCACGTTTTGGCCACTTGCTCCTTGTACAGCCGACAAAACGCTGTAACCCACCCCCGCATCTGCTTTCTTGACCCATCCATACCTCTCATAGTCTCATCTGTGCGCAACTTGTCTTGCTGAAGTCGCTCACCATCCCGCCGTCCTTCTCCTTGCTTGCCGTCCTCCTCAGGCTGTGATGTGGTTCGAGGTGAGGGCTATCGTGGTACCCTCAACACTACTCTTTCTGGCAGAACATGCCAGTCCTGGTCATCCACAGAGCCACACTCGGCCACCATCTCCTTCAACCCGAGCACATACCCAGACGCAGGCCTCGGCGACCACAACTACTGCCGCAATCCGGTACGTTGGCTGAATGTTTTGGTTTTGTGAGACAACGATGCTCATGGAGGCCCGCATGAGGTGTTGAACAGATGCACTCAAAGGCACAGACAGAGAGACAGAGACAGAGAGACAGAGAGACAGAGAGACAGAGAGACAGAGAGACAGAGAGACAGAGAGACAGACACACACACACATGCACGCACGCACATGCACGGCACGCACGCAAAATACACACACGCACATGCACGCACGCACACATAGACACACGCACGCACACACAAAAATGTACGTGCAATTGTGAATGCATGTGCTTCTGCCCTCATGCACGCAAAATCGCCCACCTGTCCTTCATTCTCTGGTGGTGTACAGGATGGTGAGACACAGCCATGGTGTTTCACCACAGATCCGGATGAGCAGTGGGAAGTGTGCGCGCTCTGCCTGCGCTATGAGGTGGCCGCACCCACCCCAACATCAGACAGAGGTAAGCTGCTCGCCCTGTTTGATGCTTCCATTTGTTTTTGTCATTTGACATGAGCGCATCGCAAAGCACTAAAGCATGTCTCGGTGCTGGAGCATCATCGTCATCATCGTCATCATCATCATCATCATCATCATCATCATCATCATCAGCACAACCAGCACCAACACCGACAGCGGTCGACCAATGCTTCATGTCCTTCACACGCTTGCTTGTTCACACGCCATTACATCCACACTGCCATCTTTGCTCCTCGGTTTCAGAATGCGCAACGGTGCCAGGCGTCATCTTGCCTATTACCACAACAATGAGCTCGACGTCAACCACCACAACCACCACCACAACAACAACCACAGCCACAACAACCACAACAACCACCACAACCACAACAACAACCACAACCACCACAACCACAACAACAACAACCACAACAACCACAACCACAACGACAGAGCAGCCGTATGTGGACGTGTTGGAAGGCGTGTCATACTCCTTCCCCGGCACAGCAGGATTGCGCGTGTCCAGCAACGTGCAGCTTGATGCGGTCGGGGATTCGTTCTCCATCGCCACCGTCGTGCGCCAGTCACCGGGCACGAGCGGGTACATCTTTGCAAAGGCCTCACTGCAGGACGGCCGATACTTTGCCCTCCTCTCCTCTGGCGGTTCGCTCGTGCTCGTGTACCGCACACGCGGCTCCACCACCACCAGCATCGCCCGTATCGACTTTGACATTGCAGACGGCGACCTGCACCCGCTGCTGGTCGTGGTGGACGGCACGACCCTCAGCATCACCCTCGACGCATCCTGGCCGGGCGCCACCACCCTCAGCACCGCGCTTGCAGGGCTGGTCGACGACTGCGGCCCCCTGACAGAGGACTGTGTGCTGCTCGTTGGGCAGCGCGAGACGGGCGGTGGGCTGTACACGGGCGATGTGCTCGGGCTCTGGCTCTATGACAACGTTGCCGTCACCACGTTCCCCCAGGCCTTGCTGGACGCGACGCAGAACGCAACCCTCGTCGCTGTCACACCTTCCACAACCACCACCACGCTTGCACCCACCACAACGACGACCACTACAACCACAACAACGACGACCACAACCACCACCACCACAACAACAACAACAACCACAACCACCACAGGAACTACCACGACCACAACGGCGGGCCCCTGTCCCACCGGCCAGTACCAGTCGTCGCCCGGTGTGTGCGAAGACGTGCGCGTGTGCACCTTTGAGTGCTTCGGCCCTTCCTGCCCCCAGTTCAGCGAGTGCCCGCAGAACTGCCACAGCTGCCGCATCAACAGCAACCAGGCATTCTGCACCCTCTGCAGCAACAGCCAGTACCTCTTCAACGGCGCGTGCTATGCCAACTGCTCGTCGTTCGACCAGGCCTCACCACAGGGCCAGAACGAGCTGGGGCGCACGTGCGTGCTTGCACCCGACAGCACAGAGCAAGTGGAAACGCCCCCTGAACTGGAGTACGAGGTGGCCCCGCCCACCGCGACCACCGACCGCCGCTGCGCCGTGTCGGAGCCCTGCCCAACAGGCTCATACCAGACTGTCCCGCCAACGGCCACCTCTGCCCGAGTGTGCGTGGACTGCCCGAGTGGGTTCAGCGACCACGACTCGAACCCGCTCACGGCGTGCGAGCGTTGCCGTGCCGGGCAGTACACCGCGCCAAGGTCCACGGGCCTGTGCCTCACACACACGTGCGACGAGGGCACCATTGACGACGACAGCGACGCGTCCACCCCCTGCGTCGCGTGCGATCCGGGTACCTTTGTGCCTGCAGGCAAGAGCGGCGCGTGCTCCGCCTACCAGTGCCAGGCCGGCACATCCGACACAGACTCTGACCCGGCCACAGCGTGCGAGGCGTGTGGGTCCGGCACGTACACCCCCGCTGGCTCCAGTGGTGCCTGCATGGACCACCTGTGCGCACCGGGCACCGCCGACACGGACCGCACATCCGCAACGGCCTGCGCTGCGTGTGACGGCGACGCGTTCCAGCCGCTCCAGGGCCAAACCTTCTGTTTCCCCGTGAGCGACCCGTGCGACGCAGGCTTTGCGGAGACGCAGTCGCCAACACCAACCAGCGACCGCGGGTGCGAGGCGTGCACGGAGGGCACGTTCAAGGCAAATGCGGGCCCTGGTGACTGCTCGCCTGTCTCCGAGTGCCCTGAAGGGACAGCAGAGGTGGCGCCACCAACGCCAACGAGCGACCGCCAGTGCTTGACCACCACCACCACCACGACAACCACAACCACCACGCAGCTCACGTGCTCGACGGGATTCTACATTGCCGCCGACTGCGCTTTGTTTGATGAGCGCCCGGCTACTTGCTGGGCATACGAGCACTGCGCCTACAACGAAGACACCGGTGCATGCACGCTTTCATCGTCGTCCTCACAGCAGCAGCGGCGTCGTAGGAGCCCTTCGACCACCACAACTACCACAACGACAACAACGACCACGACCACAACAACCACAACGACGACAGTTGGTGTATTTACAACGACGCTGCCAAACACCACACCTTTGACAGGAGACAGCGGTGACGCCCCTTCAACCACCACCACGACCACAAGCACAACGACCACAACGACAACAACAACAACAACAACAACAACAACAACAACAACAACAACAACAACAACAACAAGCACGGGTGCAACGACGACCACAAGCACAACAACAACAACGACAACAAGCACGAGTACAAGCACGAGTACAACAACAACAACAACAACAAGCACCAGCACCACGACCTCAACCACTACTTCAACAACAAGCACCACCACGACCACGACAAGCACCACCACGACCACGACAAGCACCACGACAACGACGAGCAGCGTAGTTGTGGATTCGTTTGTGTGTGCGCCCGTGACGCCGTGCACAGAGGATGAGTTTGAGGTGGCGCCGGAGACGGCAACCAGCAACCGCGTGTGCGCAGCAGCCACGCCCCCATGCGACTCTGCGACCCACTACGAAACAGCGCCGCTCACCGCCACCACGGACCGCGAGTGCACGCTGCTCACGGTGTGCAACCCGCTGTGGGAGTACCAGACGGTTGCGCCCACCCTCACCTCCAACCGCGCCTGCGCCAACCTCACCGTGTGCAACGCCACCCAATATGCGTCCGTGCTGCCAACGTACACCTCGAACCGCATGTGTTCTGCCCTGCGCACGTGCGAGGTTGGCCAGTACATCAGCGTGCGCGCAACACCAACCTCCGATCGCTCCTGTGCAGACATCGACGAGTGTGTTGCTGGCCAGTACGAGACGGCGCCGCCCACCATGTTCTCAAACAGGGAGTGCACACCGTGCCAGGCCGGCACCTATGACGACGATGAGGATCCCACCACTCCGTGCCTGGATTGTCCAAAGGGAACCTTTCAGAACGAGTACGTGTGCATCGCAGTGCCGTGCGGTGCTGAAGGGTGTCAGTCACGTCATTCACTTTGGGGCACCGTGTTTTTGTTTTTGAATGATTTTTGATTAAGTGTCACATGTCATGTTGTTTGGTGGAAAGCTTCGTTCACTAACACTTGTCACACACACACACACACACACACACACACACACACACACACACACACACACACACACACACACACACACACACACACACACACACACACTGCACCATCCTTTAGGGAGGGCCAGACGTCGTGCATTGACGGCTCGTTCGTGTGTCCGCGCGGAACACGTGAGGTGCAGGCGCCAGAGGGTCCCAACCCGCGCGTGTGCGAGCCGTGCGATGGCGTCACGGAATACCAGGACCTTGCCGACCAGACGTTCTGCAAGGCCGTGACACCCTGTGCCCCTGGCACGTACGAGGTGGAGCCCGCCTCGTCCACGCAAAACACGCAGTGCGCGGCATGCGACGGTGTCTCGGAGTACCAGGACGAGGAAGGCGCCAACAGCTGCAAGCCCATCACGGGCATGTGCGAGCCAGGCATGTACGCCATCATCCCGCCCACGCCCTCGACCAACCGCGCGTGTGCGTCGTGTGATGAAGGAGCAACCTTCACATCCACCTCCAACGCACTGCAGTGCCAGCCGGTGAACGTGTGCCAGCCCGGCACGTTTGAGGCCGTTGCGCCCACACTCTCCTCCAACCGCGTGTGTGTTCCGTGCCAGCTCAACCTGACGTACTCGAGCACCACCAACGCCCCCGCCTGCCGCTCTGTTCGCCAGTTCTGCGGCGCCGACCAGTACGAGGTTGCCCCGCCCACACTCACCTCAAACAGGTGCGTGCATATGTGTGTGTGTGTGCGTGCATGTGTGTGTGTGTGTTTGCGTTTGCGTTTGCGTTTGCGCTCGGTGAATGTGCGGCCATGATTTATGTGCGTGTGTGCGTGTGTGCTGTGTGTGCACGTCACAACCCATGGCACCTTCACTTGTCGCCTTCTTTCTGTCTCACGTTTTGAACACCCTGCTTGCCCCCCCCCTCCTCACAAACGACAACCCCCTCCCCCACACCCTCTGCCACCGATGAACAGGCTGTGTGATGACCTGGTGCAGTGCGCGGCGGGCACGCACCGCGTGAGCGAGACAGAATGCGCCGACTGCCTGCTGTGCGGTGAGGAGGAGTACGAGACGTCCCCCTGTACGCCAACAACAGACCGCACGTGCGACGTGTGCGACACGTGTGGGTTCAACCAGTACATCATCGCCACCTGCGGGGTCACGACCAACACGGACTGCGGCGACATCTCGCCCCCGTGTGGCGACTACCAGTACGAGTCTGCTGCCCCGACAGCCACATCGGACCGCAAGTGCTCAGCCATCACCCAGTGCGACCCCCAGCAGCGGCAGGTGATTGAACGCCCACCGACGGCCACGCGGGACGCAAAGTGCCGCACGTGCGATGCAGGCACACACCCGATTGGCAACCTGACGTGCGTGGCGTGCAGCGCATGCAACACGGACCAGTACCTGATTGCGGCGTGTGATGTTGAGGACACCATGTGTGGTGACTGTGACGAGTGCGCTGCTGGCCAGTATGCCAAGGTGCCGTGCAACGCAACGAGCAACACCGTCTGCGATGCGTGCGACACGTGCGCGTCTTCGCAGTTTGAGACGGTCGCGTGCACGACGACCACTAACAGGAAGTGCCAGGACCTGCGCGTGTGCGAAGACGACCAGTACGAGGCCGTGGCGCCCACAGCGACCAGCAACCGCGTGTGCCTGGACATCACGCCGTGCCTTGCGTCAAACCGGCAAATCACCGTCACCCCCGCCACCCCGTACAGCAACGCCGTGTGCAGGACGTGCGAGGCCGAGACGTACCCGTTCAACTCGTTTGCGTGCCTGACGTGTTTGACGTGCGGCGCAGACGAGTTTGAGACGTCGCCGTGTGACGCCACCAACCGCGTGTGCCAGACGTGCGCCTCGTGCGGTCCCCGCCAGTTCATGGCAGCGGACTGCACCGCCACCAGCGACCGCATGTGCGTGGATGCGCGCGAGTGCAACACCACCACCCACTACGAGGCTGCCCGCCCGCTTGACGCCGACGTGGTGTGCGAGCCGCTCACCGCGTGCAACGCCAGCGCATACGAGTGGATTGCGCCAACGCCGACGAGCGACCGCGAGTGCGCGCTTGTCACCGTCTGCAGCGATGACGAACTGGAGACGGCGGCACCAACACCAACGTCGGATCGCGTGTGCGAGCGGCCCGCGTGCGCCGACGATGAATACGAGGTGTCGCGCGCAACGCCGGCAACCCTCGAGTGCGCACCGCTCACGGCGTGCAATGCGAGCGAGTATGAGCGCGTTGCGGCGACAGCGACCACGGACCGCGTGTGCGCTGCGCTGACGGTGTGCGAGGACAATGAGATGGTCATCACAAACGCAACGGCAACGTCGGACCGGGTGTGCGCGGGTGGGCCCGTGTCGGCTGCCAGTGACACGCTGGCTGGTGGATCGCTGGCTGGTGTTGTGGTCGGGTGCATTGCGTTCTTCATCCTGCTGGTGCTGGTGCTGCTGGCACTTGCATCGGGCAAGAGCCGCGTGCACAAGTACAAGGTGGAGACGAGCTTGCCTGCTGAGCTGGAACGCGACAACGACTTTTGGAAGCGGGAGGAGTTTTCTGTTGAGGTGGCGCCGCCTATCAAGCAGATACCACGCGGAACACACCGCCACCGCCAGCAGCAGCAGCAGCAGCAGCAGCAACAGCCGTACGTGCGGTCAAGGCACAACAACTACATGGACTTGGATGCACCAAGCGCCATCACACCTGCGATGAGCATGATTGGCGACGCAGAGAGCCACGTGTCTGGTCCCGCACACTACGATGTCAACCACCACCACACCCAATACCAGCAGCAGCAGCAGCGTGGCATCGGTGCAGGTGCCGGCGGCTCTGATGGGGATGGGTCCGGCGGCATGTCGCCAGCGTCGGGTCGTGGCGGGAGCTCGATGCTGAGCCAGCAGGGGAGCGAGTTGACGCTGCCTGCAGAACCAGATGTGCTGTTGGTGAACAGACGGTCGCTTGACGGGCGGCAGTGGCTCTCACCGCGCGGGCTGACGGCGCAGCAGATGGCAGCACACCAGTACAACCAGCAGCAGCAACTGCTCAGACAGCAGCAGCAGCAACAACAACAACAACAACAGATGATGATGATGTCGCCACTGCAGTCCGCTGGCCCGTCGTCGAGCGAGATGCCACCACGCATAGCCACGACACAGGGGACGCCATCGGGGCAGGTGCCGCTGTACGGCACGCTGTCGTCGCTGCCACAGCCCGCAGACAAGCCTGGACCGCAGCTTGAGTACAGGCGCATGTCTGAGCTGTTCTACCCGAACGGGTCCGATGAGGGGCCCAGCATGCAGATGCGCGCAATGCCTGCAAGCATTCCTGAGGTGAACGAGCAAGCCGGCGGTGACGGGGACAACGAGAGCGACAACGCGCGCACCGACCCGCCATCGTTCTCTGCGACGCCGCTGCTGCCGCACCTGTTGGAGGTGGAGGAGGACACGAGCTTGTAGAGAGTAAAGGGGGCGGGGGCGGTGTTGTTGTTGTTGGAGGGAGCAGAGTGAAGTGAGGAGGAGGCTGACGGTGTTGGAAGAGGGGGCGTGTGTGAATGTGTGTTGCGTGTGTGAATGTGTGTTGTATGAGTGTGTGGTTGCAGCTGAAACAGTGAGCGTTCTGTAGCTGTTGTTTTACACATTGTGATGACACCTGTCTTTGTGTTGCCTTCCTTCTTCAGGTCAAAGCATGTTCTGTTCTTCAAACTCTTCTTTGTTCAGCACCAATGAACACGTGTTACACAGTCAACTTACAGCAAAGAGAACATAAAAGTGTGTGCGTGTGAGTGTTTGAGTGTGTGTGAGTGCGTGCGTGTGTGAGTGTGTGTGGGTATGTGTGAGTGTGTGTGAGTGTGTGTGTGTATATGTGTGTTCGCACGTCGTTGCGCGTGTGGTTCGTTGATGATGTTGACGCTGGGCCATTGGTTCAAGTGTAGTAACAATGTAACACGCTTCACGTACAATACAAAATCAGAGGCAAGGTTCAGGCAGCTACAACGAACAAGAGAAGAAACACGAAAAGAGGGAGAGCAAGAATTCACAGCCATGACGAGAAACGGTGACACACACACACACACACACACACACACACACACACACATTCATTTTCACGCCGAGTCCAGTCAAACATGCGCAATGAAGGGAGGGCAGGGGCGTGTCTGCGTGCGTTCGTCCGAATGCCCTCGTGTCAGCAGTACACGTACAAACCAAACACAAACACCCTGATGACAGGCACGGCGAACACGACGAGGATGGCGAGTGTTCAGATTGTGCCAAAGTAGCGGTCACCGTAGTCGCCGAGACCAGGGATGATGTACTTCTTCTCGTTGAGGTGGTCGTCCACCTCCGCTGTCACCACCTTCACCTCCGGGAACCTGTGGTGGCAGAGGGGGGGGGGGTCATTTATGGGGTGTGGTGTGTGTGTGTGTGAGTGTGTGTGAGTGTGTGTGTGTGTGTGAGTGTGTGTGTGTGTGTGGAGTGAGTGTGTGTGCGTGAGCGTGTGTATGTGTGTGTATGTGCGTGTGCGTGTGTGTGTGTGTGTGTGTGTGTGTGCGTGTGTGCGTGTGTGTGTGTGTGCGTATAGTGAGCAACGCCGCAATTGAGAACAAGCACAATTACACAGCTTCACGAGTTCACAACACGTGCACGGACCGCTTTGTAAGGGTGTCGATGCCCTCGGGGCTGGCGATGATGTTGCAGAAGACAATGTTGGCCAGCGGCACGCCGTGGGAGTGCAGCACCTGATGGTGATGATGGGTGGAGGAAGGGTTGAGGGAGGGTGTGACAAGAGTCAGCCATGAGTTGGGGAGGCGAAGCGATGAGGAGGAACAGAAACCGAGAAACAAGCGCGTGCACACCGCCCAGAAACGAGGGTTGGGTTGCTCACCTCGATGGCCTTCATGGCGCTGCCGCCAGTGGCCAGCATGGGATCCTGTAAAGCGGTGGCGCGGTGACGATGATGAGGAGGTGATGATGGTGGTGGTGGCGGTGACGACAACAGGACAAAAATGCAGCGCAAGCAGGAAGGAAAGCAGGCAGACGGACGCAGGTGTGGACGAAGACACACACACACACACACACACACACACACACACACACACACACACACACACACACACACACACACACACACACACACACACACATACGCACGCACGCACGCACGCACACGCATGCACAGACGCATGTACAAGCGCAGTACCAGGAGGATGACTTGGCAGTTGCAGATCTTGGAGGGGAGCTTGTCAAAGACAAACTTTGGCAGCGCCGTCTCCTCGTCGCGCTGGATGAGGACTTTGCCAATCACGACGGACGGCATCCACTCACGCAGGATGTGCTCCATCGACTCGCCGGCACGAAGAATGCTGGTTGCATGACGCGCAAGCGGAAACAGACAGTGAACGCACGAGATGGTGATGGTGGAGGTGCAAGCTTTTGGCTGGTGACGGTGCCTCAACTTAAACTGTTCTCAACCATTGCGCCGCACACACATGCACACGCACACATGTGTGCGTGGACAACTGCTCGTACCTCACACCGCAAATCTGCTTGGCTGGGCGCGTGCCATCGTACGTGGTACCGGTGGGCGTTGTGACCTTCAAGTCCTCATCTGAGGTGAGACGGGAGTGTGTTTTTTTTTTGGGGGGGGGGGGGGTGAGTTAGTGGATGAGAGCTGGGCCAGCGACGGAACCAGCCGAATGACACACAGACACAGACACAGACACGCATCCATACATCCACACGCACACACATCTACACCGCAGGCACAGACACATACAGACACATACACACACATATTGCATGCACGGACACACGCCCTGCTTGCTCACATTCCACGTGCTCAAGGGCAGCAGCAACGACGAGGCGCGCAATCAGGTCGGCTGTGGCCGCAAACTTGGGTGGCTCCGTGTCTACCGAACGCAGGATCGACATGATGTGTCGGAGGTGTGGGGTGCGTCGCAGCACCGTCACGTTTGGCCACTCCTGCGCACGAATACCCAAAACGCAATAGTCATGTGAGCGACACGCAAACACACAGGCTGGTTGTACTTGTTGTTGGGGGAGTCCGAGTGTTGCAGGTATGCGCTTGCACAGACACCCACAATATAATCGTTCAATCGTTCAATCGTTCATGTCAATCGAGTCGATTGATTGAGCGATCGTGCACACTTACTTTGCTCGCCATCGTTGTTGCTGGTTGCCTGGTGGTTGCTTGCTTGCGTGCTTGACCGAAAGCCTGTTGTGTTTGTCCTCCTTGCGTGGGTTGTACCGATTGTTAATGAAAGATACAGCCAACATTCGAGCCAACAGCACTGGTTATGAAGGAGATGTGTGTGTGTGTGTGTGTGTGTGTGTGTGTGTGTGTGTGTGTGTGTGTGTGTGTGTGTGTGTGTGTGTGTGTGTGTGTGTGTGTGTGTGGAGTGTGTGTGTGTGTGTGTGGTTGCGCTCTTTCACGGCAGCTCATGCATCGCGCACAACAAGCACACCCACTTATGTTACACCCACAAACACATGTTGTTGCTTGTTTATTGGGTGCGAACGGCTCGTCGTTGGTCGACAAGAGCCAGTCGCGTGTGTGCGCTTGCCAAGGCAGCAGCAGAAGCCACAACTACGAACATGGGCCCAACACGAGTTGAATTAAGCGTTCAAGCAAGCAACACCACTGAGGTGTGGCGTAGAAACGGAAGAGAAGAGAAGC